ACAGCAGCCATTGTAATTTCTGTCTGTAAAGGTCCTGTGCCAAATGATTGTTATGCCTTTTGGTACCTGTACAACTTGTAGTTTTTGAAATATTAATGTTGAAACTTTATTCCAAATTCACAAAATGGGAGTCAATGGGGCCTTGTAATGGTCCAAAGCAGTACTCAACTTGGTACTGCTCCATAGTTTTTTTAATCTCAATAGTTCAGTGTTTACAATACTAATATGATTGTATTTTGATGTTTTACTATATCATTATCTTAATATTGCTCTATTGTTGTAATATTATGCAGTTTAGTGTCAATAATTGAACTGGCAATGTGGACTCCTTCTGCGCACATACAAACCAACCCCTGGCACCACATTCTGCCAAAGCTCCAACAGTCTAATTGGTCTATATCATGGTCTTTCATGTGGGAGACCAGGGTTCAAAATCCAGCTAATTTTAACAAAAAGTCTTTTCCAACTTCATATTGTCACTCACTTACCTTAATGAAAAACACCTGCTGACGTGACAGGCTCAAGCTGGTTTAGAAAACTTCTTTGAACTTGCTCAAAGCTCATTCTGCAAGTCCAATGTTCCTGCATACTTTGTCCTACAGCTGCCATTGTAATTTCTATCTGTAAAGGTCCTGTAAAGGTCCTGTGCCAAATGATTGCTATGCCTTTTGGTACCTGTACAACTTGTAGTTTTTGAAATATTGACCTGCTGACGTGACATGCACAAGCTGACATAGAAAACACATTTGAACTTGGTCAAAGTTCCTTCTGCAAGTCCAATGCTGCAGGCAAAGCCATGCTGCAAAGACATGCTACGTGGCAATGCACACTTGTTTTTACATCATAAAACCCCATGTCTAGTTGGTTTTACCATGTAGTACTGTGACAAAATCATGAAAATAATTTCACTTAGATTAAAAAACTGAACTTGTTCAAAGTATTTTTCTTCATAATTCTGTAAATATTTAGACTTTATACAGCAAACTTTTTAGTTTTTGGACATGAAAGCAGTGAGCTTTTGTTTAGCCCATATGTTATTCTTTATTATTTATCTATTTTATCCATAAATCATTCTTGTTAACATTTAAGACATGCTGCTTTTATTAAAATGTAGTTTCCAAATATCATAACAATTATGACAAAACACTGTTTTATTCTTCTCAGATATTTTGGTTCTGCTGCCATGTTGGATGCCATGTAGCGCTTACCAAGATGGTGGCACAAACCCTCACCCTGTTAGCATAGACTGTGCTGTGGCTGGTCTCCGGGGCTGGTCATTCAAAAGTACAGTTCTTAAATTAAACATTGTTCAAATAGCAAGTTTCTCAGTGGATCTGTGCTCCACAATGCAGCCTAGGTGGAGTAGTCGAACACAGATCCACTGATCCTTCAACACAGAGCATCATCAGAAGACAAGCTGATAAAAAAAATTTAAAAATCTGTATTGATCCATACATAGTGTGTATTGATCGGTTCGATATGGATGCATGTGTTGTTGCACCCCTATAACTAAGCTAAAAATGTTATTTCTTTGTTTCTTGGTTTGTTGTTAATAATTTGTATAAATGAGGCCCAAACCAGTCTGATGTAATGGTTGACACATTTTATTGGAATGAAAAATCACAGTTCTATGTTTCTGAAAAGCACTAACAGACAAAAAGTAAAAGAAAGCAGTGGATTAATTTATGTTTGACAAAGTTTACAGTTATTTTCCTAATACATAAAATAACTCTTCAATAAATCAGACGTTTTTACACAAGATCAGAAAAACTCATACAATGAAACTTATATTGTAATTAAACCAACAACATGTGTCAGCACATTTATCATGCAGTTAATGTGTTACTCCAGGTCATAAAATATTAAATAACATTTCTTATTATTTACTCTGTCTCTTACCAACAAGTGTTTGTTGCCTACAGAGAACATAAAGTTACAGAGGAATCAAAATTCCGAAAGCCAAACACGGCATAAATCGGTTCTTTGAAAATGGTTTTGATGGTTTTGAGTTGGATTAGTGTGCCGGATGAGACTTTATAGAAAGAGAGAATGCCGGCAGGCCTGTCCACGTACACTGCTACTCTGTGAGAGACCGAGGATGAGGAGGACGAGGAGGACAGGGAGGACAAACGTGAAGACGAACGGGATGAGACAGACCTTTCTTTCCCATCCAGCCTGATAATGTAACCATCATCACTGCAGAGTAGACTCCAGGACTGACCTTTTCGTCCCAGATTGCTGTATACCCAGCTTCCTTTCCTCCTGATCCCTCCGTAGGTCACAGCCACGTGAACCATCCCTTTCCACTCAACTTCCCAGTAGCTGCGCTCAGGCAGCACCTCCCGACACAGCAGGTGGCAGCGCTCAATAAACCTGTCTGGATGATCCGGGTAAAGCAGCTGCTCTTTCACTTTGGTCACCTCCTTCAGGTCTGCAGAGAGTTTCAGATTTCTGTGTGCTGTGTTTGGGTCCAATGTGAGTTCACAGGCATCTGATGGACAGAACAGAACATCACCTAACATGTCTGATTACGCAGTTAGAAGCCAGTTTTATATTAAAACTAAATCTGTGCATTTTAACATCAAGAAGCAAACCGTGTGTACCGTACTTACATTTCTTTAGGCCAGGTCTCAGTCTCTGAACTCCGCCATGGTCCAAACTGAAGGAACAAACACAAATTCATTTTGGTATTCAGATGTTTAGCCAATTAAGACCTTCTAGAGTGATCTGTTTTCACAAAAACATCCCGAAATACTTTATGACAAACACTTAGACCAAACTTTAAAGGAACAGCAGTCAAGTCAAAGAACAGAATCAGGCTACATCCAAACTGCAGGACTTAAATCTTAGAAATGATTTTATTTTGTGGCCATTCTAATTAAAAGTGAACCACCGACAGTCCATGGCGCTGAAGAAATGGTAAACGGACTGAACTTATGGAGAGCTTTATAAAGTCCCTCCAGACCCCAAAGCGCTTCACACTTACAGACATTCACCCATTCACATTCACACACTGATGATGGCAAATTACATTGTAGCCACAGCTGCCCTGGGGCGCACTGACAGAAGTGGGGCTGCCATGCACCACTGCCACCAGACCCTCTGACGAAGTGTCTTGCCCAAGGACACAATGACTGAAACGGCCGGACTAGAGATCAATCCAGCGTCCTTCCGGTTCCAGGACGACTCCCCTAACCATTCTGCCACAGCCGCCCCTCCTCATTGATGCTACACATGTTAGCATGTTGGCATGTGTTGATACAGGACACCACCATTAGCTTTAGATGTTGATGTCTCTTTTTGTTAGCTTGAAACTGCATGACGGTATCAATAATATCTATATTTAAATAGACTGGCAAACATCAAACCAACAGAATAGTAAGAATTGTACTTAAGCACATTTTGTATAAGTACATAGGCTGTGTCCAAATTCAGGGGCTGCATCCTTCAAAGGACAAATTTATTAATCGCTTACATCAGCCAAAGGCTGTCCAAATGTAAAGACCACCAATCGCAGCCCACAAATGTGTCCTCCTTTTTCCACAATTTGAAGAACTGCCCCAGTGGGTCCTTCTCAACCCACCCTATCCCATGATGCATTACAGGCTGACCAGGGGATTTTCTTTCTTTGCTTGTAGTGGTAAACAAAGCTAGAGAAAGGAGTGCAGTTTTAAATCAAAATCTGGCAGTATAAAAAATTTAAAGTTTAAAGACATTGTGTTGTTAGAATTTTCATTTTCAGAAATCAAACAAGCTTGTATGGCGTGTCCCTTAGTTCTGTAATGCCTCTAAGATAATTTTATTATGTTATAATATTGATAGTATTGATATTTTACAAACTTTAATCAATTTTCAATCTTTACTTCTGTTTAGTGTCGTCATGGTTGCTAGGTGTCGGGGGTTCAGGGACACTGTAGGAGGGGGACAGGGGGACTACGTTTTCAGTTGTCCCCCTCCTACAGTGCTGCTATTGCCAGTATCACTCCACCCCCTGTTAACAATAGGTGTTTATTAGGTGTCAACGATAGACATGTGATGTGAGTATCAGTCACATGTAGGCAGKGCTTAAAAGCCTGAATTTTGCCTGAAACTCTCAGACTGAAGAAGTCTCTTGGAGGAGAGACGAAACGTTTCGTTAGAGAAGAACCCGTCCAGAAGACCTATACAATTTTTTTTTAAATTATTATTATTATTATTATTATTATTATTATTATTATTATTATTATTATTATTATTATTATTATATGAAAGTAAAATAGGCCGCTGGGCGTTTAAAGCTTTGTTGAAATGAAGAACGAACAAAAACCTTATCAGTGTATCCTTTTGAATGAACTGTGCAAAATGCAATCCTAAGTGAAATTATTGAAGCATTTTTTTTTAGCAGTAACAACAAAAATACTGATTTTGAACAAAAACACTAAATCTTTAGAAATCAAATGTCTATTTTCTCACTAAAACCAGGGCTGGAACTCTTTGTTGACAGTACTAATTGCTGGGGGTGGGGGGTAAGTGTCCTGTGGGGTAATTGTCTTAGCGGGATAAGTATCCAGTGGGTAAATGTCCTGATACTGGTGACAGGAATACATCGGGATAAGGGAAGGAATAAAGCTGAAGGCTAGACCATCCAAATTCACAGCTACTTTCTTCTGGTCTTTGCGGTTCACAAAGGACCCGGCCCACCAGGTAGGCTGGGTCCTTTAAAGAACACAGCCTTCGTTGATAAACCAGGAAGCATACTTTAGAGTCTCCAGTCTGCAGTCTGGATCCATCAGTGCTTCTGACAGCAGCTTCACTCCTGAGTCTCCTGGATGGTTGTAGCTCAGGTCCAGCTCCTTCAGATGAGAGGAATTTGAGCTCAGAGCCGAAGCCAGAGAGGCACATCCACCATCTGTGATCAGACAACCTGAAAGCCTGTAATCGGTTAAAGAAATACAATCAATCTAAATCAAGTGACATTCAGGAACAGTAACAATAAATGGCTATTCAAATTGTCACCTGAGAGTTTCCAGTTGACACTGTGGACTTTTCAGTCCAGCAGACAGACGCTGGACCCCTGAATCCTTCAAGTCATTGTTGCTCAGGTCCAGCTCTCTCAGACTGGAGGATTGGGAGTTCAGGACTGACGACAGAGCTTCACAACTTCTGTTTGACAGGTTACAGTCACTCAGACTACAATAAGAAAGACAATGTTCTGTTTGTAACTGAGAGTTTATAATCTGTTCAGATACTGCTCGTGTGTTTGTCCTCTTACCAAGCTTTGTTGGAGGCTTTGACCACCGGCAGCATCCTCAGGAGGGTCTCTTCTGAAGCAGAGTACTTCTTCAGGTCAAACAGGTCCAGATCTTTTTCTGATGACAGTAAGATGTAGACTAGAGCTGCCCAGTGAGCAGGAAACAGCTTATCTGTGAGAAGACTTCCAGATTTTAAAAACCATAGGATCTCATTGACGAGAGAGCGGTCTTTCAGCTCATTCAGGCAGTGGAACAGATTGATGCTTCGCTCTGGTGAAAAGTCCTCGCCGATCTTCTTCTTGATGTACTGGATTGTTTCCTGGTTGATCTGTGATGTTTTTCCTTTAGGTGTCAACAGACCCCTGAGGAGACACTGATTGGTCTCCAGTGAAAGACCCAGGAGGAATCGGAGGAACAAGTCCAGATGTCCGTTTGGACTCTCTAAAGCCTTATCCACAGCAGTCTGGTAAAGATGTTTGAGCTCGGGTTTGTGTTCAGGTACCTCATTTTCACTTTGTTTCAACAAGTCGACTCCAGAGGTGATGAAGGTCAGGTGGACATGAAGAGCAGCCAGGAACTCCTGGACACTTAGATGAATGAAGCAGAACACCTTATTATCATACAACTCACATTCTTCTTTAAAGAATTCAGTGACGACTCCTGAGTAAACCGAAGCTGCAGGTACATCGATGCCGCACTCCTCCAGGTCCGATTCGTAGAAGATCAGGTTTCCTTTCTGCAGCTGCTCAAAGGCCAGTTTTCCTAGAGACCCAATCATCTCCTTGTTCTCACGATTCCAGTGTGAACCTGAATCAGCTTTGCTGTCATACTTGACAATTTTGAGTTTGGTTTGAACCACCAGGAAGTGGATGTACATCTCAGTCAGGGTTTTTGGCAGAACTTTTCCCTCTTTGGATTTCAACACATTCTCCAGAACCGATGCAGTGATCCAGCAGAAGACTGGAATGTGGCACATGATGTGGAGGCTCTGCGAGATCTTGATGTGAGAGATGATCTTTGTGGCCATCTCCTTATCCGTGAACCTCTTCCTGAAGTACTCCTCCTTCTGTGGGTCGGTGAACCCTCTGACCTCTGTCACCAGGTCAACACACTCAGCAGGGATCTGATTGGCTGCTGCAGGTCTTGTGGTTATCCAGAGGCGAGCAGAGGGAAGCAGGTTCTTCCTGATCAGGTTGGTCAGCAGAACATCCACTGAGGTGGACTCTGTGACATCAGTCAGGATCTGGTTCCTGTGGAAGTCCAGAGGAAGTCGACACTCATCCAGACCATCAAAGATGAATAGAACCTGGAACTCATCAAACCTACAGATTCCAGCTTCTTGGATGTCAGCAAAAAAATGATGAACAAGTTCCACCAAGCTGAACTTCGTCTCTTTCAGCACATTCAGCTCTCTGAAAGTGAACGGAAACAGGAAGTGGATGTCCTGGTTGGTTCTGTCTTCAGCCCAGTCCAGAGTGAACTTCTGAGTTAGGACTGTTTTTCCGATGCCAGCTACTCCCTTTGTCATCAGTGTTCTGATTGGTCCGTCTCTTCCAGGTTGGAGTTTAAAGATGTCTTCTTGTCTGATGATTGTTTCTGGTGGTTCAAGCTTTTTGGAAACCGTCTCAATCTGTCTGACCTCATGGTCAACATTTATGTCTTCAGTTTCTCCTATGATGATGTAAATCTCTGTGTAGATGTCACTGAGAAGTTTTGAGTTTCCAGTTTTTGTGATCTTCTCAAAAATGTACTGACTCTTCTTTTGCAGCTTGAATTTCAGTTTTTGTTGACACTCATAAAGAATATCTATTAAAAATAGAAACCAGTACGATAATGAATAAATCAGACATTTTATGAAATTAATAAGGTCAGCAAATTCTAAATAAACATGACAACAGTATAATGCAACAAACTAGAATAGTTCCTGGAGAAACTATGAATGGGCTTGCCTCTTGGTGCAGGATTATTTTCAACATAGTTTTGAGGATTTACTTTTGGCTACCTCCATACCAAATTTCACCTCAATATGGCTAAAAATCACAGAGTAATGGTGACTTATTTGTAGTATATGTAGTGGATCTATTTCCTTTAGCGGAGCCACTCCCCTTTTTGGTGAGTTGCCTTCTATGTCATTCGCCTGCGCATTAATATGTTGTATTGTAGACTGAAGTGAAGTTCAATAAAGTTCGTGCTGCACCTACGAGATGAAACTCTTTATTAAATTATACTTTGTTGGAGTAAAGACACAACAAATTGGCGACGAGTAATCTGGACCCTGAACAACTGCGAGACATGAACTTTTCTTTTCCGGAGGGACGGAGAAAAGGACGAAATAAAGCAGGAGACAAAACGAAACCTAGCAAAGCATCCGTGAGTAACAGTGCATAGCACACAGTGAAAAGATACACGGATAATATCTGCATTTCATGTCCAAAATGGCTTGCGTTGGAAAAGTAGAGGAGTTTGATAGTTCAAGTGGAGACTGGGAATCATACATAGAG